TGTGTGTGTGTGTGTGCAGGCCTGAGAGATGAGGCAGAGTCCCAAAGGTCAACTGGGGCTTTGTGTCGTCCACAGAGATCTGAGGGAGACCAGCACACCCTAACATCATCAACAAACGCCCCCCCCTCTCATGTCAATACACGACAAACAAGACTCAATGGATTTCCATGCCGTTAGCATCACGTCACACACATTTTTAATAGCTCGCACGTTACCGCGAGTGATGATGAATTGAGACCTAATTTCACCTCATTATCCCAGTTGGTTTTGCCCTCAAGCCTGCTGCCCAAGTTTCCATGTCCCCAACATATGATAGGAGATATGAGAGGAGCGGCACGCTGTGTTTGGAGGAGGACTCAAGTTACTGTTGTGGGATCAGTCCTGCTGGAGGCCAGTTGGAACAAAGAGAAGCAGCCTGGCAGCAAACCGTTCCAGGGCAGTCTAAACAGATTTTATGGACATCTAATAGCCGTGAATGCTGGGGGAACTGGTAGATCTTGAACTGGTAGTGGTGTTTTTTCTGTTCTTGGGGGGCAGTGTGACCCAAAACTCTGTCTGTCTTATTCGCAGAAAAGGTTTTGACAACTTCTAGATACTAAATGAGGTCTGATGCTTACTTTTTCCAGCATGCCCTTGAAGAAAGAGGAATACAGCGGTTTAGAGTTTTGCAAAAGTAGCAATTTATTTCCTTGGTCAGTTATGTACAAATATTTAAATACAACATCAGCTTTCTTAAAGAGTTTGTGTGCTTCTCAATATAAAATAAATAAATCTAAACATCACGTTATTATAAAATATGTACAAATTTGTTGCTCCTGCTGTACAAATGAAGGCTACATAAACAAACAGAAGCCAGAATGGCTGACTGGTGGAGTGGAAATAATTTAGAGATAAAACAAATTTAAAAATTGTTGTCTTGTCAAGGTCTTCACTGATGTTTCAGTTTTCAGAGACTTCCTCGCTGAAGTTGACTTTCTCGTCGTTGGTGATGCTGTTCACGATGGATGACAGACGCAGGAGGCTGGAGGACGCGGAAGACTCACTGGTTCCTGAAAACAAAGGAAACTAACTTACAACACCACTGTTGGTTTTATTATATTTATTCATTTAATTGCTGATTGTAAGTTAAGTTTGACAGTTAGGCCTACCTTCTCTCTGGTTCATCATTGCTGCAGTGGAATGGTCAGCAGAGGTCGGCCAGGTCTCCGAGGACTTTTTCCAGTGGTACGGTTGACTGGTCACCTGTAGAAACACACATCACAGATTATCAAGACATGTTTTAATTGTCAGTTAATATTAAGCCACATGCATACACAACACAAGTAAAAAAAAATGTACAACTGCCACACTGAAAAATGCTTGTAGGTTTTTATTCACATTTTTGGAAGATCATATAGGCTATCTTAACAGAAAAATATATAAGTGGCCAACATTAGTCTCACTGAAATCCTTACTGAATATCACACTGTGAAATAAAAATATCATAGTGGCAATGAGATATAAACATGCAGTAAACACATCATAATGTCATTAAGTCCATGCAGGAATATTATAAGGACATTACTGAAACAACAGGGAATAAAAACACATTATAAAGTAATCTGAGTAAGACAGGGTGACAGACTATTAAGGAATATCATGGGAATATTGTGAGGATGTATTATTCTGAGGGGTGGTATCCACTGATAGCTTACACTGTGTTCTTTGAAGCTGTGGGATGATCCGTTTTGCGTTTTCTCCTGCTCGTCCAGCGTCTGCAGCAGGTCCTGCAACCGCTCAATGTAGCTGATCGCGCTGCGTAAAATCTCCACCTTGGGTAGCCTCTGGTTTGGGTTGGCCACGGTCTTCCTCTTCAGCACGTCGAAGGCCTCGTTGATCTTCTTGAGCCTCCTCCTCTCCCTGAGCGTGGCCGCCTTGCGTCTGTCCGTGGGCGCTGACTTTCTCTTGCAGATCTTGCAGGCCCACATGAGGCACTGGCCGTCGCAGTGCGCCCGGAGACCCGGAGGCGCAAGGACGTGTTCCTCTCCGCTGCTCTCCCCCCCTGTCTCGGACGGAACATTATCCTGGCCCGGGGACAGCGGGCTGTCATTGCCGTTGTATAGAGGAGACACCCCCGCCATGTCCAAGTGCTGTAGTGGTCCATGATCCCCTTCTTCCAAATAGCGCAAATCATTGAAAAGATAAGGATTGGTCTCAAAAAGGTCCATCATATTGTTGCGCCCCTCTCTCTGTTTTGACAGTGGGACTCTGGCATTTAAACAGAGCAGCAGGGACACAAGTCACCAGGCTTATATATAGAATGTGAAACTCTATCCAACACTTTGGCTGTCACACTGCATCAAGCATCTTTTTTTTTTTTTCAATGGCTCTTTACAACCTACTGACTTTGTGTAGGAAATGCGTGTACATTAAGGCCTCCAGAAGCTATTGAAATGTCACCTCAGGTTTCATGACAGGTGCTTTAAATATCTGCATCCGGACAAAATGGCAACACAATGATATTTCCCAGTGCTGCCACTGACAAAGTTAAAGACATAATGCTGTTGCTCCACACTTAACAGGGCGAAACTGAATGTTAATGGATATGGAGTTATTGGTGCCACTTTTATATAGGAAACACTTTACAAAAGATTTATACATTGTAACTAATGGCTTTCGTAATGGTTTCATTCAACTTTTGTTTTTTCTTGCTATATTGTGTCTGATGTGTACTACAGTGCAGTATAACCTGATTTATATTTAAAAGGTCACAAGGTCTCCTGTTACAAAAGATAAGAGGGTCGTTTATAAATAATCATAAGTTTCTAGCTTTTTAATAAGGTACGTCTGCAATTACAATCGTCAATAAATTGTTAATAAATGCATTTTGGTCCAAATGCCCTGAAGCTAATTTCAAGAATTATTTGTTAGTAACTAATGAAGCATTATTTTCAACCTATAAACACTGTGCCTTGTTAGAATGTGGCATTTAAAGTGGCTATAATTAGTATTTCCATATTATCAATGTTTTACATGACTACATGTATGTGGAAGGGGTCACTTGTGGTGAGGATTCCTTAGAAAATTATTACCTGACTCTACAGTTTCCCCTCGGCTCTACAGAGTGTTTTAGCCTCTTTGAGTTCATTGTTTTGGTTTTACGGCCGCAGCTTTATCGTTTTGGTTCACCACTCTCATCAGCATCGTTTTTGGACACAGCAGGCAGTTTTCAGTGAAAAATCACTACCTGCTCAGCATCAAACAGCATACAGACAAAATGGGGAGCATTTAGCAGCTAAAAGCGCCAGATATTTCCCTCAGGAGTTGGTGGAGAGGAGGATGCTAGATTTACATTCATCCGGTAGACACAAACACCACTCCAAATGGATGCTAATGTTGTTCCGTATCTGCTGAATGTGTAAATAAGCAACTGTTTGCTAACAAGCTCACCATATCAAATTAAAAGGTGGTGATATGTCAGTGTTCTGCTTACAGATTGTGTTCACTGCACCCAAGTGGACCCGGAAATGCAGGTTAATGCAGGTTTAAATGATTGAACTGCTGATTGGAGTGAATGAATTAAAGCATGTTATGCTGGATTACACCAGGCAAATTAATTTCTCACAATCTAGCAAAACAAAATTTGTCCATATGAGTAGTTTACTACTCATATGATACTACTTTATCTTAGTACATTATTTATTATCTTTATTGAAACTTTTGTTACAACTTATGTATACCTTATTAGAAAGTGGTACCAAAGTATTTAAAAAAGAATCAACTGAAGCAGGTTGAACATATTGCCCAACGTCTTCTTTAAGGTAAAAGCTTTGAACAGTCATGCCCTCTGGGAGTATAGTATTATTCATGTACTGCGCCACATAATCCTATACATTCTTCAGACGAGTTGTGCCAGTTATAGCCGGTAGGAATGGTATGGCCAATTGTAACTTGTAGAAAACCCCGACATAGATAGATCGGAATGTGCAGAGTCAAAACAGTTTTAAGAAACGCATGCATGGGATGTTATAAATAGAAATGTGGCTCATTCATCTCAAATTCATAAAAGAGATAAAAGCATGTGAGGAGGTGATATATGCCCTGTGGCATTTTTGCTGTACCCTTGAAAGGTCCACAATTGGAAACTTCACAGGCGGGAATGTGAGGGATTCCTATTTTTGTATGGCTGCAGTTCTAGTGGGGTTTTACTTTTACACTATGGATGTCCCTCCCCCACTTCACTCCCGGCTTCTGTTACGTTGTTGTGGAAGGCAGAGAGTCACGGGTGCTTTTTCGTCATTTGTCAGGGCGTATGAAATACTATTACTGGTCAACATGCTACCTCTTAGTCACCTAAATGGCATACACTCATATCATAATATACGGAGATAGTTAACAGCAGCTAAGTGAGAAAAAGTATTCATAATCCTGGTTGTGATTATAATTAAGCCGCATCTCCAAAATTCCCATTATCTCTAAATCATAATTACTTGGTGGCAAAAATGCTCCATCGATGACAGTTAATTAATATTAATGCTCATATTAAGACTAATCAGTTTAGGAGCAATACTTTACACTTTGTTATCTGGTTTTACTTACTAACAATCTACAAATATGATAAAAAATAGCTAATGTAGTCCATTGACTGTATGTAGCGTGACTACAAGGCTAGAAAAGAGGGTAACAGTCTTGTATTAATGTGTGAAGAATCCAAAGATATAACAACAGTTACATCATTTAGATATCAGATTCACATTATTTTTGTTTATGATCAGTTACATTTTGCCGTCTATACTAACAGTGTAGACAGACTGGCGTAAGAAATGTCATTCACAACCCTATTTACCCATTGGGGAGCATGCTAGCTCACTGCCTTGGCCTCCTGAGACAACCCAATGGAACAAAACCCTAATTAACAGCATTAGTTCCACCTGTGCAAGTCACAATGCCTGCTGTGAGAAAGCTACTTGTTTGTTTCATCACTCAGGTTCTTGTCAATCAAAAAGAGAGCTCAGTATGGGCATTTTTCACAGATTTTGATTTGTCATTGAAGGTAATAACAGGGCCATCCAGCCAATCCATCCACAATAGTAGCCCACACTGTCTCCAAATATTATTGTATAAAACTGCAAATATCAGATGTTGTACTGAACAATCACTGTTCATGTAAATGTTGCTGATTGCAACTCCCTAGCATCACCATTCCCTTCCAAACGTGAGGAGAAACTACGATGGCTGTGAAACGACCGCAAAACGCAATCGGCCCTATCTAGAGCCAGTCTTTGGTTTGTCTGTTCTGGGCTACTGTAGAAATATGTTGATTTAAAATTAGGGCCTCCATGAACGGTGTCATACATTAATTAAAACATACCTATGAATATTAAATTTCTGCAAATAGATCCTCATAAATGTTACACACTGGACTTCTAAGTATACTTACACTTATATATATATATATATATATATATTGGAGAGAACAGTTTATTTTTCCAATATTTAGTAAAAAACACCATATTTCCACAATCTTAACCAAAGTGTTGTTGTCGCCTAAACCATGTTAGATGCTGGTGTCCAATGCAGCCTATTATATCTCTGTAAATGTAGGTTTCTTTACAGTGCAGCAGCAAAACTTTCACAAACTGCTTTTATCGGCTGAATCAGCACTATGTCACATGAATTGATTATAAAGACCAGCCAGTGACACCTATTCGCATAAAAATGTCAGATAATGTTATGTGCACAATATGTTCATGTCCAAAAGGTATTTCCTCACTGCTAATGCAGCAGTAGTGTATTTCATTCTCAGAACTTGGTGCAGCTCATATTGCAGTTAAACCAGAGACCCTGCATTATTACTGTATAATTAATCATGTCCATAGCAACCTTATAAAAATGCTGAATGTACTCTGGTAAAATGCTTGAATTCTGTTGTCAGGGGTGTTGAAATAGTAAGCACACTTTTCAAGATATATGTATTCCATCAAATATTCCCTTTGTATTTTATTTGGAAGCGAGGTATTCTCGGGGGCAGTCACTTGTGGAAAACAATATAGCTTTTAATATTGGTTTTCTGTTTTTGAGCTTGTCATGCAGCAGATATTATATGTACAATATAGAAGAGAGTGCGGGTGTGTGTGTGAATGTGGTGCAGTAAGTTCTCTCGAGTGGGAGGGGTTGGTTTCTGTTAATGTTTTGTCAGGTAAGATAGATTTTGCATCCCATAGTTACCACAAAAATCAAAACAAAACTAGTGCTGCATTCCCTGTCAACTGACACTTTATTATTTTCATGCAAGCAAACAGTCATGGCACAAAGGAAAGACGACAAACGATGATGAATAAACGATGATTATAAATATATTAAACTGTTGCTCCAAATGGCTTGTGAATCTAATATATATTAAAATTACGCCTGACTTGAGACTATAATTGGCCTCGATCACTGAGCTGAAATGAAGTGAAATGAACACTTTTTTCGAGATGAATGGAGTCTTGTCCCTGCGGTTCCCTAATCGTGTATTCTCTCCCCAGGGCTACTGTGCATCCTGAACCGGACCATAAATTCCCGTCAGTGTCAAGGGGTTGACGCTTCAGCTGTCAGGGAGAATCATGGGATAGCCTGGGTAGAAACTCAAACTGGAGGATCTGGCCTCTCAGGCAAAGAGGTGGAGTCGGGATGGACTGCAGGAATTGTAAATCTGTCTAGAATCCAGAGAGGCTCAGAGTCAACAGCTCTGCAGTCTGAACTCTAGGCCCTATATCTAAATAGTGAAAACCTACGAGTGTATATGTGCGAGCTGACACAATGATCTCTATTTAAAAGTTCAGTATGACATATTGCTTCTTTATACTATGTAAAAAGATCATATTACAGCAATTTATTTACCCTAAAAGCCTAAAATCAGCCTTCTTCTATTTCTGGAAATACACTTATTGGCTTTCTTACTGTTAGTAAGTATGGCTGTCTTAGTTCTAAAAAGTTTAATACTGCTCATATCTGTCATACTAAATATGAAGATACAGCCAGGAGACAGTTAACTTAGCTTAGCTTAGCAAAAAGCCTGGAAACAAGGGGAAACAGTTAGCCTGGCTCTTTGCAACAGTAAGAAAATCTGACAACCAGCTCCTCTAAAACTTATCCTTCTACATCTCCCACATAACTTGCTTCCAGCTGCATGAAATTCATGAGGAAGAAAAGTTAAAAAAGGCTTTCTGCACTTTGACAGCACCTCAATATTCCAAACTTTAGGATGTGAGCCCAGCAGGGACGGTCAGTATCTCCTCAAGGGACACT